TAGACCGAAGGCTAAAATCATAGTGAGTAATGGACTCGGTGTAAGCGCCCATTTGGATAGAACCACAAAATTTTATCCACCCAATCATATTCTTTCTTCATTCTTTATATACTCCATATGGGATCTGCCCATTTTCTTGTTATTATCATTAAAACACATGGTGGATAGCTAACCAATAATAAATGATAATACTCAGAGACACTTATATGATCTGAGCCTCATATAAAATGGAAACAGACACTCTGCTGAACATAAAACCGTACTAGGAAAAACAAGAAAACGCTGGTCTACTCCTGTAGTTCCATACCTTGCATTTTTTATTTTTATTTTTTTTAAAAAACCCCGTAGATCGCACTCATAATTGGACGCTGAACTCAAAAGTTGATTATGAGTGAACAATTATCAAAGAGACACACATGCATGCATATGTATATCTTAATTAATTCCTATTATATTCTTGCTATGCAGGGAATATATACTCCGTAATTCCTATTCCCGAGAGAACATCCTAGTGCTATAGGCTTGGTTATTCTCATGCATTCTTATTGTCTGGTTCTCCATATAAACAAAATCATCCTTACTTAATACCGATGTACTTCCAACATGAATATGTTTAAGCAAATTTAAGAATGCAAATCAAAATATATCAATACCAAATGCCCATATCTCAGCATAAACAAAGTTATGGTGTACCGTTCACCGAGGATGGCTGGCTGCACATCAACCACCTGGGTAGAGCTCCCCGTCAAATCAACAGACACAGCCAAAGTCGAGGAGGGTTCTGCCCAGCAAAGCTAGTAGTCGCCGACAAACTAAAACCAATACCGCCATCCGTCTGCGCACCGATTTCGGCGGAAGATGATGGTGGCCAATCAACAATCAAACCATCGGAGAAGGATCGCAGCAACGAGATAACTCCATCCCTACCATCCGATCTTTGATCAACTGGGGGATCGCCGGGAACTGCTCCGTCGATGAAGCCGCAATGATTTGTGAAGTGTCTCCACCGCGTCAAGCCTCTGTGTTTCTTGACGGCGATCGATCTGGGGTGCAAAGAGAATCAGAGGCGCAGAGAGGAGATAGATCTGTTCACCGGACTGTGAAGTCCGATCGCCGGTAGATCCCAGGGCAGAGAGGTCGAGGCGGTTCGGTGAGAAACTCCTAGACGCCGCCTCTTGCCGGAGCGGGCTGGAGTGGTGAAGCAGACCATGTCGCCGGAGGTAAAGCCCGTTACTCACTCCTCGCCTCAACTGTTCGCCGCGATGAAGGTAGCGACGAGCACTCAGGCCGATCGCGATAATCCGGCTGCGAGTGCGGAGCCGACAGGGAAGGCGGGCGATCATCCTTTGAGCGTCGAACAAACACGCTAGGATAGTGCATCACCATATCGCGCCAAAGGTAGCGCGCACCGGCAATTGGGGCTGGTGGGGAGGCGGTGGTAGAGCAAGTACTGATAACGTGTTAAAATAAAAACAGAATGGAGAGAAAAGGGGAATGGCATATTCATTCATCTGTATTTTTCATATTACAACAAAACATATATATATAATATACATTTGTAACGGAAGGTAATAATGGTAGACATAAATGTGACCGTTACATCAGTTACATAATCAGCTCATAATGTTCATACTTAATTATATTTATAACAGAAATAAATTAATCTAGATTGTCCATAACTAATTGGTTCAAATCAAAAAGGTTAATAGGCCACTCTCATCTAAAGTCAACTTTGTATTCTTGTGATTACCAAACCAATGAACTTAGTTTTTTTTTTTTTTTTTTTTTTTTTTTTTTGAAAAGTTTGATGAACTTAGTTAAGTAGTAGTTGGTTGTCCCTCGTTTTATTTTTCTTCTCGAGGCTACTCTTGGCAAATTAAGGTAGGATATGTTGTGTGGATCATATTATAACCATTAATAATAAAACACACTTAAAAAAAAGAAAATTAAAATTATGATCCTTTTATATTTAGCATCATAAATTGACATGATGACATCTCAAGTTGTTAAGGTTTCCATTACAATATGTAATATAAAGGGAAAATTATAATTTATGCCCCTATAATATGTCAATTATCAATATTATTCCTGAATTATATATTAGTGGCGTAAATGTTGTTCCTCAATTTTTAAAATGGTATATATAGTGCTCTCTTGTTGTCTAAATGTTGTCACTCCATTTTTAAAATGGTACATATATTGCCGTTCTCGTACGGTACAAGATGGACAATATATGTACCGTTTTGAAAATTGAGGGACAACATTTACACCATTAATAATTCAAGGGTGACATTGATAATTGACAATTATAGAGGGATATACATTACAATTTTTCCTAATATAAATTGGCATACTTATTCCAAAAATCCTGCGCAAGTGCTACTTATACTAAAGAAATTATGGATGGCATATTGGCATGTAAGATTTTCTTGTATAATATATTTTAGAGCTAATTTTATTTCTGATCTTACATTTATAGGTGTCAATTCACTTTTAGTCATTCTTTTTTTCAAAGTACGTCTCTATTTAGCACTAGTATTATTGTGACATGATATTTTTTATCATTTGTCAACAAATATGTTTCCACAAATTTCCACATATGCTCCACGCCTCATAACCAACCACAGCATGCATTTAAACAACACAACAGAGACATTACCAACATTATAACAGGGCTAAAAGCCTAAAACACAATGACAACATCCACAAACTACAGTATTCTGCATGCAGTTAATTTTAAAACATTCATTTGCTTGTCTATTTTGTTGGGACTAATCTTACTATTCTTATATTAATGAGTTACAAGATCGAGTTTATTACTGAAATGGTCCATCGACTACTGCAAAATTACCAATTTGGTTATCGATAATTTATTTTACCCAATTAAGTCCTCGACTTTGAAAATGTAAACCATTTTGGTCCTCCGTTAGATCAGGTGTTAAAAGTCCAATAAATGGAAGGGTATTAATGGAATTTCGTTTGAGAAGACACATTTCCTACCAATTAAGTCCTCGACCTTTCTAGTCTCTAACTGGTAATCGTTGCACGTCTGGGAGGGTTTGTCCCGAAACAGAAAAATGTTCTCTGGCGACCGGAAAAACAAAAAGCCTGGATCTTGATGACCTGCTAGGAAGCTACAGAAGAGCAGAGGAGAAGAAAGCCAAAAACTCGGAAAAAGAAAAAAAGGGATGAACGCCGGAGATTAGACATAGAGAAGGGGAAATGAGAAACAAATCTGGTGATAATTGAGAGAGTGAGAAGCAGGGGAAGGGAAGTAAATGACGAAGGCAGGTAGCGATATCCTCTTGCGAGAAACTTCAGATTCAGACCATTGCTTGCAGCAAGTAAAGACGCAACTTCCAACAACTTCAGATTCACCGACTTATTGAACCCATCTCACTACCCTCGCTGCAATGCCACCTAATCTCAAGCCTCAAAGCATGCAATAGAGTATGGACTTTTAGTATATTTAACTATTTGCATTATAATTATATATAAATAATAAGAATCAAGAATTTTTCTTGTGCTCCGACAGTGAAAATAAAAAATCAGCTTTGGGGATTTTTCTGAAATTAAACTTAGGAAATCAGGGGCAAAAACCCAAAAAAAAGAAAGGAAAAGAAAATCAGTTTTCTTGCGAATGAGCTTCTCGTCCATGGCGTCTTTGTGATTTAAAGCTTTAAGCCTCGACTAGATCTGTGCTTCTGTTTCTATTGTACTAACTCGGTAGGAAATGGGTCTTCTCAAGCGAAATTTCCATTAATAGCCTCCTATTTAACGGACATCTAACACCTTATCTAACAGAGGACCAAAATGGTTAACATTTTCAAAGTCAAGAACTTAATTGGATAAAAAAAAATTATCGAGGATTAAATTGGTAATTTCTCAATAGTCGAGCGAGGGACCATTTCAATAATAAACTCGAGTTACAATTAAGCAATACAAACTAATATAGTAACACCACATGTGGTCGGAAAATTGGTTTAGAACAGTACCGGTGTTTTTAACTCACATTTGTACTGTCCCACCAGGGCGCACAATGCATTATTGTGCGCCCTGGCCCAAAAACGACGTCATTTTGTACATTTTCCCGTGTCTTCTGTTATCTTCTTAAAAAAAATCTCATATTTCGAATGTACAGAATTGTATAATAGAATGTACATAATTTTATAACTGAATACACATAATTTTTTACACCATTTAATAATTCAAGGGTGACATTGATAATTGGCATATTATAGAGGGATATACATTACAATTTTTCCTAATATAAATTGGCATACTTATTCCAAAAATCCTGCGCTATACTAAAGAAATTATGGATGGCATATTGGCATGTAAGATTTTCTTGTATAATATATTTTAGAGCTAATTTTATTTCTATTCTTACATTTATAGGTGTCAATTCATTTTTAGTCATTTTTTTTTTCAAAGTACGTCTCTATTCACTGTTAGAAATTTCGCGTTTTCCGTCCAACTATAATTTGGTCGGTTATTTTAATAAAAATCTCAACTTTTTGTGGCAAAAGATGGATTGACGGAAAATTGGTCGGAATTTCCGTCCAACAAGTAAATGTTGGACGGAAATTTTATCCAACGTCTAGTGTTGGAAGGATATTTTGTCCAATCTTTAGTGTTGGTCGATCAACATTGTTAGAAATTGAAAATGGTAGCTATTTTAATTTTCGTCCAACATTGTTGTTGGACGGAAATTAAAAAATAGAGGAATACTAGAATAATGGACACTAAAATAGAGAAGCGGGGAAATATATAACTTTGGGTGGGAAAACCTAATTCCCACCAAATTCCCAGCAAAATTTCCCGCTTCATAGTCTCTAAAGCAAAATTAGGGCTTTTTCATCGTCTCCAACTAATTGCTTTTATCTTCGCTGGTCGTCGCTGTCACGCCCTCTTTCGCCTGTTTGTCGTCTCCCCGTTCTCCATTGGAGCACAGGAAGGTCGCCAATCACCCTCCGTAGCTGCCGGTCTTCGCCACATTATTTGTATATCTAAAATCCCTTAATCAACTTTCCTCTCAGTGTCTCTCTCTCGTTCCTTGCAAATCCGACTGTTGACGAAGAAGCCAACGCCTTCCGCCCTCTCCTGCGAATCTACGATGAAGATGATAGACGACAACAAAGCAAGCAGAAGCCATGGTGGACGACGAAGCTAGAAGTCAACGCCTCTGCCCCCGCCTTCCCCTGCGAATCTGTGAATCTGGGTATGTTTTCTTAATTTTGTTTTGTATTTTCTTCTTATTATTCTTCTTTCATAAGAATCGCCATGATTTTCAAATCTATTTTCTTCCTAAATGTTGGTATATTTTTGCTGCTAGTGCTACTTCAGAGTGCAATTAGGGTTATGAACTAAATTATGAATACATTCTCTCCACCAGAAGTGATGCTTTTCCAGGATGGTAATAAAGAATTTATTTTGTTATTGATTCTTCCATTTTGTTATTGATTCTTACATGTATGGTTGTATGTATTGACATCTTTTCTATTTGATGATATTAATTTAGTTATATCTTTGAGATACTCTTTAACGATCTAGCTATTAATTTCTAGAACTTTGCATATGTTTAGGCCAATATATTTGCTAATAAATGTATCCGTCTGTAAATGTTGAACTGCAGAACATAGCTTGCACCAAATTCCTTGACATGGGAACCTATTCTGTTACATAGAGGCAATTATGTTAGAGCTTTGATCTAGAAATTGCATTCTGTTACATTGGGGCAATTATATTAGGCTCAAGAACTTTCTGTGGGAAACACAAGGAAAAACTTTCTGTTGTGAATAAAAACTAGAAGTGTTTACGTATTAGAGTTTATCTTCAATCATCATCAGTTTATTTTCTAAGAATTGTTTGTGAAAGCATTGGAATAGAAAAATGTGTTGATTGAACAACCTTTGCCTAATCTATCTATGAGGTTACATGATATTAATATATTCCAAAGTGGATTTTTTCAGTCAGACAGATAACTTATACTGGGATAATCTCAAACTACCTCAACACAAAATTTAGACCTTAATTATATTTGTTCATTAGATCAATAACCTAGGATGACCGATTCTGAAAAAAAGAAAAACTAGAGTTTGTCTGCTATCCTATAGCAGCCTTCTGAAGAGTGATCTCATCTCATCTCTCCTTTTCCATGTGCGCAAGAAGGCTGTTGATGAGGCTTGGATTATTATTTGGCTTAATAATTGCTCCTCACTATATTTGGCTTAATACACTCAACACATGTGATTAACTCAGAAACAGTGGTGAAGAAGTGCAGAAAGTAAGATCTATTGGAGAACTTACATTCATCTATAGCATCAAGAAACTAAGGTCTATTGGAGAAGAGGAGAAGAAGAAAGGGCTTTCTCTTTCTCCTGCTGATTCTATCTGTAAGTGTTCCATCCCCCATTGGTTAATTGGTGAACTTCATATCATGAAATCCTATAAC